CCCCAAAACCCCAAAACCCCAAAACCCCAAAAGTAAAATGCATAGATTGGAGTGATTATTTGTATAAGTATAATTATTAAAGTATTTGCAAGAAGTAAGAAAATGGGACTGTCTTATTTATCTAAGAAATCATGGCATCCATCAACTTTCAAAAATATTGAAATAGTTTGGGCTGCTGAATAAAAGAAGAAAGACGAAGAGAAGCGTTAAACAGAGCATATTAAAAAGCTTAAGGAGGAAAGGCAGATTGAAGAGCTGAAGCAGCTTTAATATATGGCAAAGATTATACCAGAAAGCTCACTTTAGAGAATTGATTGGATGTATTAGGACAGAAGTGCTCAAAATTAAAATCAAGCAGGAAACTCAGCTGAGGACTATTTACTTGGTAAGTCTGTGAAGGAACTCAAAGACAAGTAAGAGAAAGAGGATGAGTTCAAGAAGAAGATTGTACCATGTATTAGAGGTGATACCTACGCTACTCCAGAAAATGAGGCTTTTTTGAAAATGATGGAAGACCCACTAGTTTACATAAAGTAGAAAGAACTTGAGGCAAGAAGTTAAGTTTACGACAATCCTTTAAAAATGAAATAGATTTTGAAAGAGATAGAAGCTCTAAAGGAAGGGAAAAAAAAGAAAAAGAAGAAGGATAAGAAAGATAAGAAAAATAAAAAGGACAAGAAGAACAAAAAGGACAAAAAATCAAGGAAGTCAAGTAGCAGCAGGCATTAGTCAGAAAGATCAAGAAGTGATAGTAGAGGTGTTCGTAGTAGCTCAGAGTCATCCAGTGAATCTAGAGAAAGAGATGAAACTACGAGGGACAAAAGCTATCATAAAAGTAGTGGATATCACAGCGAAAAGAGTAAATCAAGTAGATATAGATCAAGGTCAAGATCATTTGAAAGAGATAGAGACCATAACAAGTAAACTTAGAGAAACAGAGATAGTAGGTCTAGGTCAAACTCAAGAGAGTATAATTCAAGAAAAGAGGATCGTTAAAAATTTCCAGAAATAAATAAGGCTTCTTCTTCTAGTTCTCAGAATTAGTCAGATGCCTAAAATAGTTTAGGACCTGATATGAAATTATATGGAGAAAAGCAGAGATTAATGGACATTAATGAATAGATGAGAAAGAAGTAATAATCATCATATGATCTCTAAAAAATGTCTGCAAAGGAGAGAGAAATTAAACTCTAAGAGATGCAGGGTTTTGCCAGAAAACTTGATGAAGATAAGAACATGAAGCTATTTGGCACTAAAGAAATTCCTTAAAAGGGAAATCTTCAGGATATGATGAAAGAATAACAGGAAAACAGTAGCAAGAGAGATGCCAAGTTCTTAAAGGATATTAATAATTCTGCTTATATGGATTCAGGTATGTAGTTAGATGAGAGAATTGGCAGAAATAAGCACTATATTGCTAGAGGAGCTAATAATAACGATGATTGAAAATATCACACGAAGCGATATAGCCAAGCAAACAGACAATTATTAATTCATGATTAAAAACCTATTCAGTAATCTTAATTTCTTAAAAGAAAATTATCAAAATCAATCGATATTGGTCCTTTAATGAGACTCTCTCTTTTTTAGATTTATTCATTGAATATGAGAACTCTTATGAAACTGGGCAACAATGACAGTCACATCATCAAGTTTTCCTCCCATAAAGTATTTTCTTTGCTCTTTTGCATGCTTGGCAAATGGAGAAAAGTATTTTTTATCTTTTCCCAAGATCTCAGCCTTGGTGGAAAGACAAACTGCAGCAGCCAAGTGATCTGTGATCTACTTGGTTTCTTTGTTGAAATTAGGATAAATACAATTGAGTAAATCTTCGTCATATACATTATCGAATAAACCATCACTTCCCATAATCAAAATATCGTTTTCCTCTAAAATATGGGAGTTATCATCTGCATTGTAGGGCAAATCACAATTAGTTCCACATTGATAAGGAAAGTTGAATGAATATTATTGTTCTTTTGATCTGAATTATAGAACTATCTTTGGGTTTGGCTCTATACCATCCTAAGTTTCTTTTCTCTCATCTTTGATTCTAAATAGAGCATATCCTGAGTCGCCAAGGTTGGTAGTCTCCAAAACAGCTCCACCTAAATTTTGGTTGATTCTTGCCAGACATGCAGTGCTACTTCCCTTGAAAGTGGTCTTTTTCACAGCCTCAACTAAAATATTCTTTAGAGTTTACTAATCATTATGGTGTCTCTCCAAAGAAATCAGACTGACTAGTTGTCTAGAGAATAAGCCTGGATCCACTCCTTGATCATTCCATCCTCCTACTCCATCAAGCACAACCATAAACTAATCATCTGCAAAGTAGGCATCCTCACCTCCTCTCTGTCTTTTCTCAATATGAGGTAGCATTGAAACACCATAGGTAAAATGAGATTTCTAATGTGACAATTAATCGTGTTAATTTGTTTGGGCTAATGGTAGCATATTAGGTTACTTAGCTTCTGCTTCAGCTCTCTAAACATCAAAACTTGCATGCTTGAAGTACTTTTATCCAGCACAAAATGCAGATAATCCAAAAATTACTGCTAGTTTAGAATTATTAGGTAACCTTAATTTATTACCTTTCAGATATTATTGCCAGTTCCTAAAGTTCATTATGATATATCTCTTATATTATTATAATAAGTCATTATAGAATAATTATAAATATTAATAGCATTAAATCTTTTACTAATCAACCAGGAGTTTACTTTACTTAAAATTTAATTGATCACTAGGGGAGTTATAATTAAAATATTTGCGGGTCTAAATTAGCAATAATTGATTAAACAAATTTGATTAAAATGTCTTCAAACAATAACTCCAACAAAAATAAATTCCTTTTTAACAGCAACACTAATAGTAATGATAACAAGCGATAGTTTAAATTTGCTCAAAAGTAGATCATTAAGGTTGTCAAGTAAACAAATTAATAGCAATAAGAGCACGAGGAGAAGTTAAAAGCAGAATTATAGCAAGAGAAATAAAGGGAGAAGGAAGTCAAACTTTAAAATAAAAAATAGTAATTAATGATTAAGGAAAAGCAGCTATAAGATGAGTTAATCATTAAACTTCCAAATGAAATTAGTGATATTATATAAAACTTAAGGTAATTTAAGGCTAATTGATTGAGTCTACCTTGAAGGATTGATATCTGCAAGCAATATTTAGCAATCAAAACACTCTTAGACTTCCTTTAATCTTACAATGAAAACTAGAATTCAATGTATGAGGAGATAAAAGATGAGTCTAATAGTTAAGATAGTATAATTGAATTACCTAATTATATCATGAATGCACAATAATATGCAAGTAACTAATAAGATCTAGCAATTTTGAGTTCTAAATGGGCAGAGATTAGAGTATAAGTAGACAAATTACTTTGCATGATTGACTCTGAATAGTATTGCCAGAATTTGTAGCTATCTTATCAGATTTAGAGCAATCAAATAAAGCTTAAAAATCTCAATTACAACCCTTACAATTTGAAAGATTAATTCTAGATATTTAACCATATTCTTCAGATTATTAAGGAGAGCCTTACAGAAAGTTAGGCTAAAATAGACCTTAGAGAGTATTATATTTAATTCAAAATTTAGGGGTCTGATGGAAATGAGGTTGTAAAGAGTTTCTGGTCTTACACAATAGATGCCTCTGCTTTTTATGAGATAATAATTGATTTCATCAACAATAAAATATAAAGAGGAGGCAATCAATTTTCTTTGGTCCATCACAGATTGTTAAAATTATATGGATTAGACTCAAACTATTCTAATTAATCATTTCAGAATAACCTAAGAAATATTTCTGTCTAAAAAATGACGGTTTCCAAAATAAATCCTCTTCCGATTAGAAGGCAATTAGATGAAAATGAGTTTGAATAAATATAGCATGAAGAGTATCATGATGCTGACCTTACTCTATATGCGATATCAAGAGCTAGAGTTTAATATCTAGGGTTAAATATACCCATATTTAGATTAAAGCATTGTCTCTTCGAAGCATTGATGCTAGCTATTCATCAAGATGAATTTTAAACAGAATCTGATTCCTGTTTTGATCTCACAGTAGATGAAAGAATGAAGCAGCAAGCGTTTTTGCTTTCTAAAGTGATTGAATTTAATCAAAGTTCACACCTTTAGAATTTGATAAGTCTATCTTAGTTTGGTAAAACAATTGAGTTTATAAAATATTTTAATGATCTCTCTAGCAATATTAGTCCTAATTATTCCAGATATAAAATTACTCTCTACGACATAAATCAGAGAAAATTTATAGTTAAAGATGATTAATAGCAACCTCATATCGATATTTACTTGGTACATTATAATGGGTATGTTTTTGCTACAAATTATCCAAAATTGATAGTTATCCGTGAAAGGGAAACCTAAATGAGCTAAAAGCATAAAGTTATTAACGGCTTTGATAGCGATAATGAGGACTTGATCGAAGTTAATAAATAAGATAAGATCAATTTATTAGACTTTAACGATTCACCTGAGAAGTCTAACACAGGAATTCATTCTATTTACGAACTTCCATCAGAGCTTAAAGATTTGTCTTAATCATACAAAAGCTAAAAAAGAGATGAGGATGAAATATCAGATGTTGAGGTGAAGAGTGCTTATATTATGAGTTCTAATATGCTTAAAAATAACACAAGAAGAACTAAGCTCTCTTAATTGGTTGTGAAGGATGGCAGAGGTACATCTCAATGTGGTATTCTTACTTACAAAGTTGAATTTCAGAATAATAGTGAATTTTCATGTCCTAAGAGACTATTATGCTATGGAAGAGTATATTAAGAAGGAAAAGTTATGATTAAAGAATTTTAAGGCAAGAATTGCTATATTAAATTTTTACTCTGGATCCTACAACACATGATTGATTATCATTAAGATTCAAGGAAGCAATCATAATTCTTAAATGTATTTTCTTTCAAGGGGCAAGGTAAAGAAATGAATCTGATCCTTAGGGGTCTCACCTAAATAGTTGGAAGAGATGTTCATTTCATTGGGGATTTAAATAAGCTTAAATTGGTATGGACTGAAAACATAAGATTTTATGATTTCGATAATTACTTTGAAGGTAATTCTATGAAATACTATAAGGATAGGTGGAATATAAGCACCAAAAATTTAGAATAATTGGAAATTAATACTGATAAGATTGCTTAATACTGTATTCTTACTTATGAAATTATGCAGGAATTTTTCAGAGCACTAAAAGGGGTTAAGTTTGCCAATCAAATTTATGATTTCACCCTTTAGGCCTAAGGTTCTGGAAGCAGTCTTGCTTTGTCGATATTTCAATATTATTACCTAGACAAGTAGCATATTAAAGGAACTCATGATCTAGAAGTATTAGATAAGGAGAGATCTAGTTTTAAATCTGCCAATTACTTTATTAATCAACTTAATGAGGATCAATTTACACCACATAAAATTGATCATTCATCAAACATATATCGACTCTATGAGATAAATGATTCATTAGCATTTTGTTTTCAGGATTATCCTATTCCTATAGAATTTTCTAAAAGAAAACCAACTAAAATCGAAATTTAATTTTAATAGGGCCAATTTAAGCTTGATTACAAAAAGTAGCAATACCTCTATGTATTTTAGGAGAATATTAGATTTAAGCTGATGTATACAAGCTTATATAAAGTTGATAAAATTGTTAAAAAGGAGAGAAATTTCTTAATACCTTAATAGGAAAATGAAAGGTTAAACTACGCTGAAAAAGAGATAGAGAATCAATACATATGGGGTGTTGAATTGATAGAAAGCATAGTATGTGGAAATATTAATTCAATTAGTTATCTTAAAATATCAGAGGAGATGATTTATCTGCAAAGTCGAATATTTAACCAATTTGTTACAGATTTACTCTCAAATTATGAGAATAATAAAGGAAATCCTGTTGTTAAAGATTTGATTTAAATGATACTGTCAAACTTTCATTATAGATTTAGCTAGAAATACGTAGGTTTGTACTAAATCATGCACATTAATGACTTAAGTTTAATGAGATAAACAATAATAACGAATGATTCTTAGATACAAAAGATAATTGAAATAGCTCATCCGTTTTACATGATTGAGTATTTTCCTGATGGGAGTGATCAGCTTCAATAAATTGGATCTCTGAGTAGGATAGCCTCTTATGTGAATGCTTGTAATAGAGCACATTTGAACCAAATATTGATGAAAATTTCCTCAGATAATATCATCTTTATGGATTCTTAATATCTTCTTCTAAAAAATTAATGGCTATTTTAAAATGATCTAAATCCTGGTTAGAACTTTACTATTGGCAGGTACAAGGAGATATTCTAGAGTAAGATTGAATAGTAAGACAGGGATTAACAAATAGATGAAGATTAGCGAAAATTCTAAAGTCTATTAAAATATTTTAGCTAAAGAAAAATTTTAATTCCTGCTGATTAATCCAGAAACATTTCAGTCAATGAATGTGTAAATATGATTATTGGCAACATCAATAATGCAGAGTAAGATAATGATAATTTAGATAATTTGAAAGGTAGCTTCTTATCTTTATCTTAGGTTGACTAGAAAGACATAATCTAATTAAAACAATCCATAATCTAGTAAATTATCAATCTAATACCAGCTTCAGCAAAAAGCTTTGAGAAAATAAAGGCAATGTAGGATTAATAGTTGAATCTTGATTAGGATTAAGAAGTTTCTCATCTTAATTTTTCTTTTCTAAAAGAAAATAGGAACAGAGTATTATTTGAGGGTCTTCTGAGTGATTGTCTCAAATATTTCGAAGAGAATTTCAAGAAAATTGAACCGATTCATGAAATCGATATAAAACTTAAAGATGAAATCCTTGAGAACTAATATTTAAACGAAAATTAAAAGAAAAAAGAAATGAAACGAAAGGATAGTTCCTTATCACTGCTTTCATAAAATCAATGTATTGAAATCCTGCAAAGTTAGTCAGATGAGGATTCTAAAAATAACATTGTGGGATAGAAAAGATCAGCAGCAGGTTCATTAGTCTAAGCCTTTTTCTCACAGATATGAATCTTATTCTTGAATATTGCACAACAGTGTTGTAAATGGAATAGTTGTTATTTATGAATTTCTATTAATACTTATCTGTTAAGATTTATTGCAGATTTATTAGCAAGGGGTTTTGGGGTTTTGGGG